CAATAAATAACACCAAGCTGAATACTTAGATTTCATATATATTTTGATGTTGTAGCTTATTTGTTACCAAGCATGTTATATTTGGCATATAGCCTACTCAATATGGGTATGTTAATGTAGAAATAGTTCAATACTGATAATGCTTACAAGGTATCCAATACAACACTAAGTTAAAAGATCAATGGATAAAGCATCTTTGAATAATAAGAATCATAGATCATGAATTCACTTTTCACATAAAGCCAGAATAATAATAAGTCTTTATCACCAGACACCAGTACTAATGCATTGTTGTTCTGTAAATATTTCACCGAAGTTTTTCTTTGATCTCTTTAGAAGTCTGTACACAGTACCCCGTGTTTCAGAGTGGAGAACTATATTTTTGTATATTTTGGTTATAGAGGATAGTCTCTGCCATCCTCAGGGTATAAAGCAGCTTCCTATGTCAAAAATAAGTGCATTTTGAGATTAGATTCCTTGTTTTATACAAATTGTTCCTTGGCTCTTAGGCTCAGGTTAATTTCAAGACTTTCCCCTACAACTCTGTGCTTGTTAGCTTTAGGCTGCAACATTCAGGGCAACTGTCATCACCACATCCAGAATAATGTTGTTTATTAATTTATATGTACGATTAAGAAGAACAGAAGATATTCTATATTATGACAAGCAGCAATTTTTCAACTAAATGCAAAGCAAAAGATGAATAATGAAAATTATTAAAGGGGTATGATCCCTTCATCATACTTCTGTCACTAGTATTAGTATATATAATTCACAAGAATGATCATAGGTCTAACCAGTTTGCTTAAAAGAGCACAAACATTGTTTCATATGTATTGCACATGTATCAAAACTGGGAAAATTAATGAAAATTATTTATACTGGAGACTTTAGATCTCAGTCTATCAGCACTTCTATTAGCCTTGCAAATCTTTTATCTTTAACAAATCTATACCAAAATTGTGCTTTTCTGTATCACAAGGTAAATGCGGAGCAGGGTAAATGTACCTGACTGCTTTTAGAAACATCAAATGCATATTTTACAATTGTGCTTTTACTTTGTGTCTATTACCACTGCACATCTACATTACACTACTGCTACATAGGCCACATTCAGACCAGTAGACTTAGGCTTCGTTCACATGCAATGTCTATTTTCTAATTTCTATTTTCTATTCGCGCTATCTTATGATCACGGTCTGTGTCCTGAATATCCTGCTGTGTAATTACTGGCAGCGCGAGCCAGTTACTTATAGTAACTTATAGTAACTGGCTCGCGCTGCCAGTAATTACGCCGCGGGATATTCAGGGCACAGACCGTGATCATAAGACATACCGCGAATAGAAAATAGAATTTAGAAAATAGACATTGCATGTGAATGAAGCCTTACTTAGATAGGCCACAGGTCAAATATAGTAACCAACTAAAAAGCTTGCCATCTAATCCGCTAAAAGACACTGAATAGATTCCCCGTGGGGAAGTATTCAAGTGGATAGAGCATAATGACCCATGGACTAGTTACTAGTCAACTGTTCTGAGTGCAGTCATAGAAAGAAAAAATGCTAGCTACCATCTTAAAAAGTGCAATTTATATGTTTCATATGGTATCTCATTTCGTTGAGCAATCTACAACTAATTATGCTATTTCAGAACCCTGTTTTAATATTGAGTATGTTCAAGTCAACACTTCTCAGTATCAACTGCTCCTCTATGTATCAGGTAACTTAGATCTGCTGCCAAACAAAATGTAAAAGATTGCAATTATTTCTTAAAATTTTTCTCTCTAATACGGCTTAGATCATAAACATGTCTTTATTATTGCTCACACCAGTTTCTTCCCAGTAAATCTGTCGCTGCTACAGCATCTTTCCGATGGGTCTATAACCTCCTGGTTCCGAGAATTAACCCTAATCTCTGTCAAAATGTTCCAACAGAGGTCAGCACTGCAAAAACTCCACCAGGTGTCACCACCTGTATCCAACTTCGCCACCAGATGTCACTAGCTCCCTACTGTTCACACTGGTCTGTCTCTCTGCTGGCGGCACTGCAAATAGTGTCCAACTCTTCCACCAAGGTCTCGTATCTAAATGCCACTCGGACATCAGGCAGGTTTGTCTTGGTAATATCGTTACTAGCGACACCTTCCTTGTTGTAGTTTGGGCCAAGCCAGTGCTGTTTTACCTGAAATATAGAGGGGCTTGAGGTATGGTGACAGCTTCTGAATGCAAAAACATATTGTTATCTTGGTACTTGTATAAACATATATAGCTGCAACTTTAGATATAATGTCTACCCACTGTGCACTACCCAATATACCTAACAGCTCACCTTGTGTGTAAACCCACTCATTACTATACTGTATCTATCCAATATACTTAACAGCTCACCTTGTGTGTAAATCCACTCATTACTATACTGTATCTATCCAATATACCTAACAACTCACCTTGTGTGTAAATCCACTCATTACTATACTGTATCTATCCAATATACCTAACAACTCACCTTGTGTGTAAACCCACTCATTACTATACTGTATCTATCCAATATACCTAACAACTCACCTTGTGTGTAAATCCACTCATTACTATACTGTATCTATCCAATATACTTAACAGCTCACCTTGTGTGTAAATTCACTCATTACTATACTGTATCTATCCAATATACCTAACAGCCCACCTTGTGTGTAAACCCACTCATCACTATACTGTATCTATCCAATATTCCTAACAGCTCACCTTGTGTGTAAACCCACTCATTACTATACTGTATCTATCCAATATACCTAACAGCTCACCTTGTGTGTAAACCCACTCATTACTATACTGTTCTTGGCCAGTTCACACATATCACAGGGGCTCAGCTTCCAGACCTGAGCTGCAATGCTGTACTCCTCCATCAATGGCTCCTACACAATATAAGATAAGTCAACTAAGAAAGGGAGTCATAATTCTATTCACCTCACCACATCTTCTCCTATGTTGCAAACCTACATCAACTGATCATGGTGCAATAAAAGTTTCCAAACAGAAATGTTTAAAATTTACATAAACAGAAAATGTCATTAACCTTGGATTCATACAGCAGTGATTATTTCATCTTTAAAAAATTCATTGAAACTTTGTATGTCTAATAGCATGTGATGAACAAAAGATCAATAAACAACGTTAGGCTTCTGATTGAAAAGTAACTGCAGTCAAAGATACCTTTGTAAAGTGAAACTGCCATAATGACACCATGACCTTGACCTACCTCCGTATAGTGGAACTTCCTTGACACTATGACCTTGACCCACTTTTGTAAAGTGAAACTGCCATGATGACACCATGACCTTGACCTACCTTTGTAAAGTGAAACTGTCATGATGACAACATGACCTTGACCTACCTTGGTATAGTGAAACTGCAGTGGGTCATCAGTGCTGAGGGACACCTTGAGGCCTCTGGCGTGGTACTCTGGCAGTGGGTTACGGTGGTAGTTCAGGAACAGTGAGTTGTTACTGAGTGGAGACATAGCAATTCCTACCTGAGCCAGGTAGTATAAATACTGCAGCACTGGGACCTACAGATAGGAAATAACTCAATTTATTAATTTATCAAAAATAGCAGTGCTGTGCACATATAACGTATTCATTTAAAATACAATATCAAGACGTTAGGTGAATTATTTAAGACGTTTTGTACTTATGAACAGTTCTCGTGAATAACTAACAAGGAAAAATATATTAAGAAATTTCAATATGCAATTTTAAAACAATAAATTTTTCATCTCAACAAAAAATTGACAACATTTTACCTTTCTGAGCAGCAGCCCATGGGAAATATTTTCAGCGACCATGAAAGCCGTGACTAGGTGAGTCACATGACCTGCTTCTCCAGAGTGAGGGCGCAGTGTGAAAGTGTTGAAGCCACGCTCCCTGAAAATACCAAATTGAATATGTCAAACGAGTGATTTCAACCAAGACATCTATGAAAACAATGCTATTTTGAAAACTGAAATAAAACATATCCTGTTTCAGTGTTTGTGTAAAAAAGTTGGTAGAAATAAGAAAAGAAGGAAAAAACCAAGGAAACAGCCCTATCTGCAGGACAACCATTTTGAACACTATCATTCAAGACAATCTTATACTAGTGACAGAAAGAACTAAGACATTTACCTTCTGAAGTGATTNCCAATATACTTAACAGCTCACCTTGTGTGTAAACCCACTCATTACTATACTGTTCTTGGCCAGTTCACACATATCACAGGGGCTCAGCTTCCAGACCTGAGCTGCAATGCTGTACTCCTCCATCAATGGCTCCTACACAATATAAGATAAGTCAACTAAGAAAGGGAGTCATAATTCTATTCACCTCACCACATCTTCTCCTATGTTGCAAACCTACATCAACTGATCATGGTGCAATAAAAGTTTCCAAACAGAAATGTTTAAAATTTACATAAACAGAAAATGTCATTAACCTTGGATTCATACAGCAGTGATTATTTCATCTTTAAAAAATTCATTGAAACTTTGTATGTCTAATAGCATGTGATGAACAATAAGATCAATAAACAACATGTTAGGCTTCTGATTGAAAAGTAACTGCAGTCAAAGATACCTTTGTAAAGTGAAACTGCCATAATGACACCATGACCTTGACCTACCTCCATATAGTGGAACTTCCCTGACACCATGACCTTGACCCACTTTTGTAAAGTGAATCTGCCATGATGACACCATGACCTTGACCTACCTTTGTAAAGTGAAACTGCCATGATGACAACATGACCTTGACCTACCTTGGTATAGTGAAACTGCAGTGGGTCATCAGTGCTGAGGGACACCTTGAGGCCTCTGGCGTGGTACTCTGGCAGTGGGTTACGGTGGTAGTTCAGGAACAGTGAGTTGTTACTGAGTGGAGACATAGCAATTCCTACCTGAGCCAGGTAGTATAAATACTGTAGCACTGGGACCTACAGATAGAAAATAACTCAATTTATTAATTTATCAAAAATAGCAGTGCTATACACATTTAACATATTCATTAAAATTCAATATCAAGACGTTAGGTGAATTATTTAAGACGTTTTGTACTAATGAACAGTTCTTGTGAATAACCAACATGCAAAAATATATTATGGAATTACATGTGAAATTTCAAAACAATAAATTTTTTGTCTCAAATTGACAACATTTCACCTTTCTGAGCAGCAGTCCATGGGAAATATTTTCAGCGACCATGAAAGCCGTGACTAGGTGAGTCACATGACCTGCTTCTCCAGAGTGAGGGCGCAGTGTGAAAGTGTTGAAGCCACGCTCCCTGAAAATACCAAATTGAATATGTCAAACGAGTGATTTCAACCAAGACATCTATGAAAACAATGCTATTTTGAAAACAGAAATAAAACATATCCTGTTTCAGTGTTTGTGAAAAAAGTTGGTAGAAATAAGAAAAGAAGGAAAAAAACTCAAGAAAACAGCCCTATCTACAAGACAACCATTTAGAACACTATCATTCAAGATAATCTTATACTAGTGACAAAAAGAACTAAGACATTTACCTTCTGAAGTGATTAAGCACCACAATGTTAGCATACATATAGTAGAGATAGTAGGCATAAGGTGGGTTGTCAGCCATATGCCAGTTCTCTGGGTATGGTGTACTAAGACATTTACCTTCTGAAGTGATTTAGCACCACAATGTTAGCATACATATAGTAGAGATAGTAGGCATAAGGTGGGTTGTCAGCCATATGCCAGTTCTCTGGGTATGGTGTACTAAGATATTTACCTTCTGAAGTGATTTAGCACCACAATGTTAGCATACATATAGTAGAGATAGTAGGCATAAGGTGGGTTGTCAGCCATATGCCAGTTCTCTGGGTACGGTGTACTCTTGTCAAACTTGAACAACTCGGGCTTTGACTCATCGTCAACAGAATCAAACCCAGAGATCTGGAAAATAAGTTGGTACTTATCATTAAGAATAACAACATAAATCAAAGACAACTGGTTTTCACATTAACATCCATATAAGCTGAAGAGAACCATATAGCTCAGGAGGATAACATTTTAGATCACTGTATCTGGTTTTATGACGCAGAAGAATAAACAGGCACTCCTAAGGATCTGGATATTATGGGCATTGAACTTCAGGTGTTCATTATCTTTCTTCATTCAATAACAAGAGTTTTCATAATAACAGGTACAGTAAGAACACCTGTTTATGCCAAAGGATCATATGTTACTCAGGATAGCTCTTGGTATTGCTGGTCTTCAAACAGAGAAATAAACCAAAGGGCCTTTTGCAGCTAGATGTCAAGGTGTCAACTGCTTTTGTTTACTGGAGATCTTGTAAAAGATCTATACTCTGTGATGTACAGGCAGTTTTGAACACTTTAAAACTAAATACTCTTTTATGCCTGTCACCCCTGAGGTGGCAATAAATAAATAAATAAATAAATAAATAAATAAATAAATAAATAAATAATACTCACATGTTGTAGAAACATGTGTAACTCAGGGTGACTCTTGGGGTCATTGGTGACTTCAAACAGAGGAAGAAACAGGTTCTCAATGATGTCCTGGAAGTTTTGGATCAGATTGTTGCTCTTGTAGATATCACTGAAATGACAGGAGACACAGAGTGAGAGATGTCAGTGTAGATATCACTGAAATGACAGGAGACAGACAGAGTGAGAGATGTCAGTGTAGATATCACTGAAATGACAGGAGACAGACAGAGTGAGAGATGTCAGTGTAGTGTCCTTGTGCAAGCAGCAGCTCCCTCCCTACACTGAGGCCATTCGGAATAGATGATTCAAGTACTAACTGGTCTGCTGACTAAATATGGTCGACCCATCTTGAAAAGCTATGCCCCTGATTCATGATGGCCTCCCTGTCTCCACACACACCATTATATAGATGAAATCCCATCTCCGAGGTTTAATTTCTAGGCCCCTGCAGCGATGGCCTATGTGGAGGGCAGGAGATAATCATGGAATTAAAGCCATCGCTTTTGATGTGGGTCTGCCATATTTAGTCAGCAGATCCATAAGTACTCAGATCATCTATTCTGAACTAAAAAAATAAAGAAATAAAGAAAAATTTAATATTAGTTTTATTAAGTTAACTACATGTATCTGTAAAAAATTATTAAATATTGTTTCATACAAAATATTCACCTTGTATTCACCAGTGTAAATATACATCTCTCTCACACCATAACTTACTATAATCTGGGCATCTGAATCATCCACCTGTTGTTGGGAGAGTACATCTTGTGAGTGACGGCCCACTTGGCGAGGTCGTCCCACTCTGACTGTCTCTTACCATAGATAGACAGCCGCAGCTCCGCATTGGTGTACTTACTCTCCTCTAGGTCACTCAGAACTTCCTGGAGAGGGAGTAGAAATAGTTTATGTTGATTTTAAATTAATTTAGAACTCTTCTCTTATTTGTTAAACAAGCATAATACACACAACTGATCTTCAAATCTTGTTAAATGCTGTTGCTATGGTAGCTGGGTTACATAGGAATCCATATGTGAAAGTGTTGCAGTTGGTCCATCCTTGTATTATAAATAAACTCTTGAAGATTTTTCATTAAAGTCTTGGATAAACTAGTAGGCTTTATTCTTGAAACAATATCTGCATTTCAGTAAGTAGCTGAAACTGATCATCAATATTTCACTACAAAATAACTTTGCTTTGGTTTAACTTTGCAACAAAACTTGAAGCATAAAATGAATATGAATCAAGTCAGATATAAAGAGGAGAGATTACCTTGAGCACTTTGGCCAGATATTTGCCCTTACAGAAGTTGTCTGTCTTCAGAAAGATCTCTCTCAGTCTGCTCTCTCCAATAGGGTTGTACTTGGCATTGAACTTGTCAAATCTATGGAACGTGTTACGGTCCTACGCATGGATAGAAATGGGAAGGTCACATACAGGTGCAATACAGGCAAGTGTGTATGTGTGTGTGTGTGTGCGTGTGTGCGTGTGTGTGTGCGCGTGTGTGTAAATTATAAACAAGAATCTTATATATTTTTAAAACTGAATATTAATTTTACATCAAATAAGATTGCCAAAATACACATTCAGATACTCTGATCAAATTAAACAAATTGAATGTAAGAAGAGATGATTAAAGTAACTAATATATACTATATAGCTATATGAAATTAAACAAGTTAAACCACTAATTTAAAGCTAAGGCAAAACTGAAATGAATATCAAGAACCAAGATCTAAATCAAACCACTAAAAAAGTTGAAAAGAAAAGGAGGGTAAAGATTACTAATACTATGAGCAACAAAAGACTTCTGTGCAATTAAAACCATAACAAAAAGAGAACATCTACATAAATCCTACTTGTTTCTACTAAACTATTAGATAAGGAACTACGTATGCAAAAGCTTTATAAACTTCTCTTTCAAGGTTTTAAACTGCATTCCCACAGGTTTTAGATCGATCTATCCCTGTGGGGAGTGTCACTAGATTGCTATCAGCTTAGCCAGCTTAAAAGTCTGTCCCACCTACTAAAAGCTGTAAAGGGGTTAAACTTTTGTGCGTGCTCAGCTGACAGCAATTTAGTGTGAAACCCCAGGGAGTTAGGTTGATCCAGATGGATCGATTTAGTTTATCTGTGGGAGCCCAGTCTTAGAAAGAGGTATTCAATATTTATTTCATCATTAAAAAAAAAACAAAAAAAAAAAAACAAATGTGTGCTTGAAAAATTCTCTTGAAATTGTGCAACAAAAGGTGAACAAATTCGAAAGAAATCACAGGTGAACACAAATTCAAAAGTCAAAAACTGTAACATGTTACTGTGAAACTTACAGCATGCACGTCAAGCATGTCAACATTGAGATCATACGCTGTCAAGTTTAAACTCTGAAACACCTGCAAAATACCAAAATCAGAGAGAAATAGGGTTAATAAGGTGATGGAAGAGATAGGGTTAACGTGGGTAAGTCATTATCAAACAGTTATTTCTTAAAATCCATTTTGAAAACCCTGTAAAAACACACTTCAAGAAGCACTTGGGGATGTGAAACTGCTGAGAGTTAACATGCGACTATGTGCAACATAATGGCCATGCAGGGGGTCAATATTCAGGTCAAGGTCATCACACAGGTCAAAAGTCAACCCTCTGGTCAAGGATGATAAACTCACAGCGTGGACATCTAAGGTGTCTATATTCAGATCATACATTGTCAGCCCTAGACCTTCAAAGACCTGACAACAGAAATAGCTTCATCATCAACACATTAACCAGGGTTTACAGGGAGAAGCTGATATGAACCTTCTCAACATGGAGAGCTACTGTTTATAACGTGACTAGCGACAGAAAGGCGCCTGGACGCTAAACTAAAATATCTGCTGGTGCTTAGCTGTTCAACGTGAATTTCATTTACATAATTTAAGTATGTACAATATGTCATGCATGAAAATAAACATGGAAAATACATGAAAGACAAAATTTATCCCTCCTTGACAGTACCTGGAAATGTTCTCATAAAATGCTAAAAAAACATCCACATGCATGATAAATAATAATATAAACTGAAAATTGTTGGGAAATTAAATAATGTATTGAGCAGAAAAAAACCTGAAAAAGATTTTTTTGTGAAAAAGAGAGAGAGAGATAACTCTTTTATCACAAACTTCATAAAAAAAAAACGTTAAATATTTTTTGTGTAGTTTTAAGAAAACCAGCCCCCAAAACTTTTCAGACAGGTTCTCCCCTAGTTACAGGGAAAGAAATAACTCGTACTCATAACGTACTGCTAAAGAGCAGCACTTGTATGTAACATGCATTACAACAAAAGCAGGGGAAGCTTAACTTATAGACGACAGTGAAATTTGTACATAGATATCTCTCATATAAATATTTAATTTTCGTGTCAGCAAAAAGCAATTTACATTTAAACAAAATTGACTGTTTAACATGAGAGGACTGGTATCATGTTTATTTTGTATTCAAAAATAGTAAACTTGATGTTATTTACTAAGATGAAGTTAAATGGGCAAATAAAACCCAAAACAAGCATGTTTTTTCCCAAAAATTAAGACTTAACAATTGAAAGAAGAATGATGATGGCGAGCAGTTGTGATGCAAGAAGGAAAACAAACATTAAAGAAAAAGAAAACTTGCATCTCTTTTCTTGTCATCTCGGGGACCTGTCTTCTTTTCTCTGGCAGACGTTACTGACTGAAAGACCTGGAAATGAAGGCAGACGTTCACTGTACCAGAGTTAATGGAGGTTACTGCAGTAATACAAATATAACCTTCCTTCTCAGCTCCATTTTCACCAGAACCACCCCCATTTTTATAACACACAATATTGTTTCACCAATCTCCATACTATCACCAAATTAGTGTTGTTACAACATGCATAAGGATATTAAACAGTTGGAGCTGTTCTTACACCTGAAACAGAGCTGAAATATTATTACTGTCCAAAAGAAGAAAACCACCAAACTTCATGGATAAAGCACAGAACAAGGGGATTACCAAGTTTTTTAGAACAATTTACACATATTTTCCCCCAAAACATCAGATACTGGTATTCACACATATTATTCTTATCATTTTATAATACAATAATTTGTAGCTAGAGTCATTAACGTAATTTTGCAACTATTTTTAACCATAACTTTTGTGACATGCTTTCTTCTTATTACTTGAAAAATTGTCTCCTTGTTAGATTAAAGAAAAAAACTTTGAATGTGTGTGACTGTGTGCGTGTGCATGTGACCAATTCACTTCACTATCATCGGTTTCATTACCTCCTCCAGTGTCATCTCCTTGCCATTGTTATCTTTACAGACGACATCGCTGGCACTGGTCCTCATAGTCTTCTTGATGAACCTCAACAGGTGCTTCTGGTTCATACTGGACGTACCATGGACGTGAGTGTCCACCTGAAAGTGGACCAGCAGATAAATCATAAAACCTGGACACCATCTTATGGCCTGTTATTATTATTATTATTATCATTATTATTATTGGTGGTGGTGGTGGTGGTGGTGGTGGTGGTGGTTAGTAGCAGTAGTAGTAGTATTGTATTTAATATCTTTCAAATCCATATCATCTCCTCTTCAGATATATTTTCTGTATTACAAAATCAACATCAATTAATCAACAGAAATTTTCATAGTTAAAGTGCTATTTATAAGTCACCTGACCAAATCCAAGTCTAGAATTGACCATCTCAATGCATAATTTTCTTTGTTGATATTCATTCAAAATTACTGAGCATTATTGGAGCAACAAAAGCCTTGTTGATAAATAAATACCCATTTGTAATACTGCACCTTTCTTATATTATAGAAATCTCTGTGGGGCACTTCCTTCTGTGCCGCTGCCTCTCTCATCTCATTTAGGAGGCTGTGAAGCTGGAACTTGGAGGACAGATATGACAGACGTCTGTAGCAGAATGATTTTCTGGAATATATGATATAGTTTACACAGGGTTAGTGACATATTTACCATACAACACAGCCCATGAATAAAATTAAATGCAAAAGATAGACATTGTTGGACCCGTTGGATAACTTGACATGAAAAAGTCATCAATAATCTGTAATTTCAGACTTACTTTGAGACAATATTCTTTTAGCCAAATAACTGGTTAATTTTTGGCAAAGAAAAATTTGAAACTATATTCATGATCTCTTTCTCTCTCTCTCAAGTCCACTTACAGAGGTCCGTCTGACATGAGGACACACATGAGGTTATGGTCGTCTATGAAAGTCTCCAGGTCAGGGTACGGCCACTCTATGGGTTCGTCTCTCTCTACGCACTCCTGGTCTTTGTACACGTACATCACACCATGGCGCAGCTTGAAGTGACAGCCAACTGCGTCTGGGAACTCAATGTGGAAGGGATCTGACTGGATGTTTGGGGGCTCCACATACTCTGTCATGGTAAGATATGGTAACAATTACTGAGTACATAATATGTCTTCTTCTCTTTATAAAGGTGTGGGATGAATTTACACTGTATAGCACAGGAAATAAAACAACAAAACATAAGCTGTATTGGATTGTTTTTGGTGGCATTCATTATTCAATTTATGAATTACAGTATGTGGCTTTCCTGAACTTTAATTCTTTCACTAAGTTTGTAAGTCTGATGAATATCAGAAGATTTGAAATTATAACAATTACATAAGCAACACTGTATTAGGATCCTAATCCAAATAAAGCTAAGCTATATAATACCTCTATCAAAACAAAAATCATTGAAATATTTGCTTTTATATTTAGGTTCCACAAAAACAACAAGTCACTGTGTCAAGGTCAGCAGGTCAAGGTCATCATGTTCAGTTCAACAGGTCAAGGTTATTGAATGAAAAGGTTATTTATCATGATCACTATTAATAGTTTTGCAAAGTTTGGTATGTGGACAAAAAACGTGATATATCAAATGTGCATTTGTTGGGTAACATGCATGAAATTAAGGAAGGCAGGATCAATGTTAATTTAGGACAAAATTAATGTATTGAGCTCTTTATGGTATACATAACAGTCCACAGGGGTATTAACTGGTACAAGATAATTATTAATCAATCAATCAATCCATTAGTGTGAGAGGAACACTTGCTCCTGGAAAAAACTGATAAAATTTGTTATGTTCAAAAATGAGAGATGAAAGGAGAGCAAAGACATATCTCTGGCTATTTTTTTTACTTTTTGTTTTCTTTTTCTTTCTTTTTTTTTTGGAGGGGGGAGGGAGGGGAAGTTTAAGAGCATTCTACAATGTTGCTACTCTATTGCAGAACATGAAGCACTAAAAGCTGTTAGAAATGAGCATTTTGCATTTAGGAGAAAAAACATCAGTTAAAAAATGAAATGTGCTGGTTAAGTGATAAACACAATAAAGAAAATGGAGTGTTCTTCATAAGCTTTTAAAAAATACAGCTGCAATACTGTATTCTATTCTATTAATAGTAAATCACAACTTATTATAAAAAAAAGGATGACATTATTCATAAAAGCATGTGTACTGTGAGTGAAGTGCTCATTCAAATTCACAGACCCTTACAATATTAATGTAAGAATTAACATGTGTCACGCTATTAACACCAGAAAGCAGAATATAACACAGTAAAAAGTTAAGGTCAGTAACTTGATGCAGACACCACCACAATCACTGCACATCTAAATGGTGACGGTGTTTTCTTTGACTTAAACAACTACCTGGATTAAACTGTGCATTATAGTACATAACCCACTTAGCACTGCCACCTGACACGCAAAAGAAGTCAACGTTAACAAAATAAATAAATAAAAATGATAATGAAATTTAAATACTTATTTTTTTAAAATCAAAATAAATTGCAATAAAATGTCTATAAATACAGTATAACACACCATGCCATTCATGCATAACAAGAGGTAAAGTACTGCCTTCATTGAGTGAATACTTCACAAACCTCTGTGATGTCAAACAAAATAAAAACAAATAAGAAGTTTCCAATTTCACTTATATATCAACCCACCTGCTAAGAAAGTGATTTTCAGGACCTTGCTTCCTGGTTTTTTAAGGCTCTTATCATCTCTTTAACAACAACATTGCCATTTTTTCCGGCAATTCTTTCTCTCTCTCAAACCAGACAATATCCATTTTGTTCAATGCTTATTGCCACTCTTAAGACCACATAATAATCACAACTCAGTCCTCTCCTCCACACAGCCTCATTCTGACTTAAACCCACCTTCTCCATTTTTGGCATTGTGTTCAATTTCTTCAAACTCGTCCCCCTCAAAGATGCCTTTGGCCTCCATCTTCTGCAGGTGTCTGGCTGTGGTACCTGGGAAACTCTGTAAAGACATCGCCATGTACTTCTCACGGATCAGCAGAGCTCGCACCAAGCTCTTAGAGGCCTCCTTCAGGTCTGCTAGTGGTACCTAGGTGGATAGTGAGACAAAAGATGTTGATATTACTTTAAAACAAAATTTAGTGGAATACATGCATTGGCTGAGTATAAAGATATAGAGGATCTTGGAATTAAAGACATGGGCCAGTTTTTTCATGGTACCCTCTGGCTCCTTTTACGAGAACATATGTAAAGAATATTTCTAAAAGGAAAGAAGAAAAACAGATATCACCCTTACCCCACTGTTGTCCTCTCCACTGATGCTGACTCTCTGGAACACGGTTTCCAAACATTCTGCCTCCACTCTCTCCTCCTCTGCATCCACTGCCATCTCCTGAAAGAGAGAGAGAGAGAGAGTCAAAAGGGACACAGGTCATCTAACAGACTTGGTGGCAGGGAAGTTAATTATTTGCACAAAAATTAGAGTCACCTAGAATACTTAATTCAATTCTCCAAAAATTGAAAAATTGAAAAAAAAAATAATTAAAAAATGCGCTGAAGAACTTGACTTCAAGTCCCACCAACCAAGGGCTTTCATTTTTAATCTGCTGAAACACACAAGTAGTAACTGCCCCCTTCTTCTTAATGATTTAAATCTCTGACCCTTTAATTGTTTTGATTTATTCTTTCTCACAGCACCAAATGAACTTGTTATAAAAGTAACACATGTCACTGAGTGATGTGTAAGCACCCACGTTACCTGTTCACTGAGCATGGCCAGTTCTTCCTGCATTGTGTGCGCCTGGCGTACGAGTGGCCCGTGTGTATGTACATGTGAGCCGTGTGTGTGCACATGCATGTGACCCATGTGTCCCCCACTCTCTGCATGTTGCTTGGATCTTAAACAACGGAATAGAAAACATACACAATTAAGGAAGGAAACCATCAACCATCATGGCATTCTTTCTCTTCATGTATTATTTCTACAGATATGAAAATTTATTCCAGTCATTTAATCTAAGACACTGGGTATGGAAATTAACAGCAATATTTTGGCATTATTTAAAATATCCAAAGACTGATGACAAAAAATTGAAGAAATAGTATTACTTCTATAAATAAAATCATTTCAATAGAAAATTATCTGTGGTAAAGCTGCCATCAAGTACCCTTTAATTTTAATTTCTCTTGAGCATTATTATTCCTTGTACTACTTTACTATTACTGCATATCGTCATGCTGAAAATGTTTACATCTTTAAATAAAACACCTCCCTTTTGGTGTTGCAATACAAGACCACAACACAACATCAAATGATGAAACAAACCCAAACCATAACCAAGTGTTAATTTGTTTTTCAATCCCTTCACTACTACCAGTATCAAATGTATCACAAAAAAAAAAGCCTGGCCACACCACGGTGTCCACACTTATATTAGAGTTAAAACTAACATAATATCTTCAACTATTAATTTGTACAATAGGTCTGCACACCCTCTTTCTCTCAAAAATGAAGTTGAAGCAGGAATTTTAAACAATTGGGTAAGTATTATGTTACATAAATAAATATTACGTTAAATCCAATGACTTATTTTTACTTATGGGAGACATTAAGCCATTCACTGCATTTTAAATTCACTTAACTGAATAATATCTTATAAAATCATTAATTGGTTAATATGCAGGAGACAATGAAGGGTATGGTGTCCATGTAAAATATCTATATTGGTTGTGGTGTCTGCCAAGTCCTGATATAGACACTTTCATGGACCCCATACCATTCAGTATTCCCTTACCCCTAGTTAGTGGCTATATGTTACTGCATTATTAAAATATCATATCCCTGAGTTAGCGTTAAATCTTTAAAATAAAACTAATAAAAATATCATAAAATTCCTTCACCAGGCCTTTTTATGTATAAGGCAACCCCCTATGAATCTTGTTTCAATTACTGATAGTATATGACAAAATATTGGACAGACTGTTGCCAAGGTGATAAGATTTAATCGCTAAGCAACTGCCTAATATCACCCATCATAGAGTAATTGAAACGAGGCTCACTGGGGGGTATTCAACATGTCTTGACCAGTCAAATCAGCCAGTGGTGTGATAAAAGCACATTCCAGTTAATTTGGTATAATTAAACATGTCAGTTATTCCAGGAACATAGCTCTGTGAACACTTCTACATCTTCAGGTTGTAATTAAAGCAGGCTCCTAGATACCAGGATGATCAAATTATCCTACAGACTCTTTGACATTTCACTAAGTAGCTGCATCAACTGAAGGCAAAACTACCCAGAGACCTCTGCAGACATTATATGAGCCAACAGCTTTTACAAATATGACACAACATTGAAAACAAACAAACCCATGCGTGTAAATAATAAGGAAGCATGCTTGCATGCGTCACTGCTTACAATTACAATTACGGCAATTGCATGCAGAAATCATAACTTCAAGTCACAAGTGGCAGTCTGCTTCATTTTCCTGAGTGAAATAAACAGTTTACAGTTCTCTTTTCCCATTCCCAACATTTTTTTTCAGATCAATACATTACTTCATTTCACTTCATTAAGCCTTTGCTATGAGTAGAGTATATTTAGTCAATTATTTAAAATTGGGTTATTTTAGCTTCTAAATTACATTGTTAATGCTCTGCTGCTGAACATTAATTAAAGCAATGTAATTAATCTTGCAGGCATTTTCTTTCCAATTCATTCTGAAGTGATTTTCCCCAATTTCTCAATAACAAAATTGGCTAGATTCTTTCTAGATAAAGGAAGAAGTATTTCTGCACAGTGACAGTCGATTACAATCTAACTGGATTGTAACTTGGTATTTTCAATGTTATACATCTACTTAAAACTTCAAATTTCAACCACAATTTATGACTGCTTCCATTTTAACCATCTTTATTTAATTCCATCTAAAATGTGTTAATTACGTAAACAGCAATTCTGTAATGACTACATATTTTGTAAGATAGGTGAAAGGGCTGCCAAAGCTCCATACATAATAATGATAATATAAAAGTTGACGTCATGCTGGTCCGTAATCATTATAACCCAAGATGCACAATATGCTGGTTTCTACTCATCACAATTTTACTTTTTACCTTTTATCAAAACTCCATGTTGAATCAAGAATATGTGTACTGCTTTGGGGCAATTAAAAAAAAAAAAGCGAAAAAAGGAAAAAAAATTCTTTCTGATTATTTCATGTCATTACTATCAGACTGCTCTTTCTTGTATCTTCTAAAGTGAAGTTTCTATCCTTTCACTAAATGAAATAATAATAATAATAATAATAATAATAATAATAATAATAATAATAATAATAATAATGCACTATGATATAATCACAGTATAACCAAGTGGTAACAAATCCCCTGCAGGTCAGATATGAAGATAAAAAAAACACAAAGCAATGCAATCTGCAGGACCACATACGGCGGTATTCTGTGATGTCACTACCACAGAGGTCATTACTCTTCATGCACACCTGACATCATTTCACACCTGACATTACTGGGACAATGATAACACACCTGGTGTCACCTGTCCCTGCATGCACCGCGTGCACCCCGCGTCTTGTGAAACTGCACCATGAACCACGTGAACAGAAAGACTCCATTCCCACCAGAAATATTTTATATACACTTATGAGGTATCAATTTTATAGATAATGCATTCACTTCTGAATCTGTTACTAGTATAAAAATTTATGGCCAAATGGCCCAACTCTTTTAAGATAATTTCATTTTCTACTTTATTATCATCATTGTTTCATTTTCTGGTGGAAATGTTCTCTTTGTTATCACCAAATTAAATTCATACGAAGAATTAATGCTCTTCAAACTGCCACCAGGGTGAAAGCTACATCTACTGAAGTGAAAGTGAAAGTGGTGTGAGGATAGAAATGCTTCAAACACTCACTCATTGAAACACAGTTTTGAACAAGCAGGCGGAATCCTGAGAGGGAGAAAAGTGAAAGTGGATTTATATTTTAATTATTGAGCACCATCAATGCATCAGAGAATGAAAGACACTCTAATATTTTACAGTAAAAAAGCACAGTTAATTACAATCAAGATAATAAGTAGTATTTATAAGGATAATATTTAGTTATCCTATAGTACACACTACTTTAATTTTGCAAGCTGAAAAGTAAAGGATGGCCCATAAGTTATTTTAGTTACAATGTTCAACAGACTGGTCATCATTTAAGTGAATATATATCTTGAAGAATTTATTAAATTATTAGAAGAATCCAAATATGTTTTCAATTTTGTAACTGAAAAACTTCAAATCTATAATAAGACTGTCAAGACCCAAAAATGTTGCATTTGCTCTAAATTTTGTGACAGAAATAATCTAAAACTCTTAATTGATTAACGCGACTACAAAAATAAAATAAAATAAAATAAATAAATAAATAAAATAAAATCTTCAGACAGGTTAAGTAAAGGGATGTATAAAACAACAACTCTGATATCATTTCATATCTTCTAAATCAAAGTCAATATTAGACTGTTGAAGAATAAAGGTATAACTTGCTCCATAAGTCATGTAATATGTTATGCCAAAAATTGTAAAAGTCTAAATTAAAAACATGACATATCAAAAGATGTCACACTCTTTTAAAAATCAGTAGTAATTATTTCAAACAATCGCCTATTTCAGTTCTATTTCTATACTAGTAATCAATTAGGCAGCGTAATTAGAGGTACATCTGACCCAAGGAGCAAATGTCATTGATCTCAGCAAAAACATGGCAACTACAGAGATGGCTGAAACAGAATACAAGAAAAGCACAACTCGCTAGAAAATCAATCGATTAAAGCAAAATCAAAATGTGTTTGTCAGACACTTTTAGCTCAATTATGTGTGTACAGAAAGCAATAAAAGAGCAAACAATCTAATGTGATTGCATTGCAACATAGATGTTATAAGACATTTTGACCATGACCCCATTCATGACATCATGCTTTGTAGCAGCTACATTAATGGTGGCATAAAAAAATTTGAGGAGTCCTTGACAAAGTTTCCTGTATTTAATTATACTTTTTATTTTGTTGTCAACGATTCTAGCAAAAAAAAAAAAAAAAATGTGTATGAAAACTGCGTACTTTTAGATCAACCCAAATTCAGCCATTAACAAGCATCTATCTACAAGTAGTATGACGTAAAACATCTAAGCTCATCCTATCTAAAATGAAATCTCTGCAAAATTCACATTTCTTCCCTGCGAATTAATGATTCTTATCAGACCCAAGCCTGTCCAATATAAATTTGTTTACTCACTTGTGACTAAGTTGGCGTGCAAGTTTGTTCTTCTGTTCTCTTTGTTCAATGGGATACTGTGGAAGCTCATATGGCGCTGAAATTTCATTGGCTAATTCTGGGTCTACCAAAATGCGTTGGTGAAGGTGATCTGCGATCTCCTGAAATTTGTCATCCATTGGAGTGTGGATGTGTTTGGGGAAGCGCAGTTTCGTTGGAGAAAATAACTTTGGTGATATAGCTGTACCTAAAAGATAAATAATAACACGCTGTATACAATGATGAAATCGGCAATGATGGTAAAAAAATTGGTGTTAGCTACTGACAGAAAAAATGAAGCACAAGAATATCTTAGGCTGTGTTCAGTGTAACAGTTATTGGTCCAGCTAGATCAGTTTATCTCAGTGGGGATTCTCACCAAGGCGCAGTCAATGTAATCAGCCTAATTGTCTGGCACGTCCCACACACAGCAACATGAACAACATCCTGGACCATGAAATTTCTTGACTTTACCCTGGTACTTTAAGTTACGAGGGGCATATACTAAAACACTACTGAAATTGCAACAGTTATTTGCCAAAACTAAATACTACATATACACATATCCTTATTTACTGTGTACTAATAAACCACATGTGGCTACAAAAAGAAAATCTGCAAAAGCCTGAGACCTAATCAATTAAGATACCTAACATAAAATCATCTCATGCTTCGTAATTACTATTATAACTCACAGTACTAATAAAATATAAAAACCAAGATTAATTACTGATTAGAAAAAATAGTCATAAATATACCACATATGTCCCTTGCTCACTTCAAATAATATTGTGTACAACTGTTACTTGAAAGTGATCAGGAATTGCGTATTTAAGTACTAGTAGCCTGACACATCCTGTATCATATTACCAGTTTAAATTAAATTCTGTTTCATCTGAATACAAGAAATACCCAACTTCCTCTGAGAATTTAATTGTAATCTTATCTCAGTGAAATACAGGAGATAATAATGGAATCACTGGAAAGTACGTACTTATTTACAATGGATGTCTTATTAAAATGAACACCACCCTTTCCTATATCAAACATGTCCAAATAAGGGATTTTTGTCCTACATCTCTGTTTTAGTCAAATTCTAATTGGAAACTTATTTAAAATTTTTATCTTTATACACTAATTTCTCTTTAACATTAGGCCAAATAATTATAATTTTAAATTTTTTATTCTAAAAATATAGCAGGACAGTAATCAACTTGGAAAACAAGGAAAACCATGTTCTAATGATCTTGACTACGGAGGGAAATAACGAGTTACGAAACACCAGAAATCTACAGAAATCTACGGCAAATGAAACCACATGACAACAAGTCAAAAAGAACAATCACCTGACATTTAACAATTACCTGAATCAGCTTACTAGTATTTACATCACCTGTGGTGTCCTAACTTGTCTTGATAACATGGACAGTGGAAACCGTCTGGTTCTCTCCCTATATATACTATGGCCTTAGTGAGGAGGACCTGATTTTCTAAAGGTCATTAGAGCCAGATCAATACTCTCCCATTTCATATTTAAAGCGTGAGCGCAAGAGGTTTCCTGACAGATATTTCACAGGTTTCCACCTTCCTCTTTTTAAAATATTTACTATAATGAATTTCTCCAGGTACCAATCACCTTGAGAGACTTCTGAAGGCAGGGAGTTATTTTTGTAATACATATATATATATATATTTCTAACTTAATACCTATAAAATTATATTACCAGTATTCAGATAAACCAGGGCAATGCTACAATGTATGTATATTTGTTAAGATCTACTTTATAAAATAATATAACTGTTACAGTGATTGCTATTAAATGAATGTCTGAAAATATAGGGTGGAGTCCAGACCTAACCTCCTACCCCCCCCCCCCCCCACATTTTTTTTTTTTTTAGATCTTCATTTATCTCAAAAGCATTATTTTTGGTTCTCAATAAGTTGGATATCCGCCAATGGCAAGAAATATCTCAGCCCTGATATATTAGTATTCAGATCAACCAGGCCAAGGCTACAATGTACAAACTAGTATATATATGTTGGCGCCAGCCCTCCACTGGGACCAAATACTCCACTTATCTATAACATAGTGAATGACAGGAAGGAATGTCGTAGTATCTTTAAGTTGTCCTATCAAGATAACCTAACTGACATTTCTACAAGATACATCTTCCAAAGTCTCCTCCTCCAAGATTGTAAGATTTTTGCCATTCTGTGCCGACATCAGCATTGTAGACTTCAACCACACATTCTAAATTATCTGATATTGAAGGATAGCTGTTTTAAATAATTTATATACTACTTTTCCACCAAGTTTATCATTCTTTAATTTCGTCCAACAGTAGAAACTATCCTGCAGTTTTGTTTTGAGAAAATTCTGCCTAGAGTAAGTCAAGTCATAATTTGCAGCATTTAATCATTTCAGTGTCAAATTCATTTACACCTTATTATATATATTTTTTTTACATATTTTTCTTTTCCTTTTTCTTTTTTTTTTTTGGAGGGGGGGGGGGGGGGTCACTATATATCCCACTATATATCCCAGTGGTATGGGTTCAAGTATATTTTATCTACAAGACAGATAGTACTAGTACACAAAAAGCCTCTTTTACACAAACTTTTTTATGAATGACAGATAAAAATGACAGTTTCTAAAACGTTTTATCATGATGATAAAGAACATTAGTAAGGATATGCAATTCTTAAGTTTGCATCTATCTGTATATATCATGTAGGGAAGAGCTGGAACAAGGTGGAACAAGTGCCATTAGGCGCCCAATAAGTAACTATCATTATCTCTAAGGTACAGGACCTTTAAGAATATATAATCTGGAAACCTTGTCTTTAGGACAGACACTGAAATCCCTTGTTTATAAAATAACGTCTCTGGCAATGAACATACTTTTTCGGTACTATAGTAATTAATGTTTTTTTCTTTTATGCAGAGTTCTACATGATGCAGCAAGAGTGGCTTGTTTAAATTCATTTTGTTAAAAGTATAATTCATGGCATTCATTCAAAACAGTTTTTAAATTGTTGAAATATCTGTATCACTTCCATAATCTGGGGGCAAATGCAGTTGAAGTAAAGTTTACATAAAGCCCAACCAACATTTCTCAGTGTTACCTAGGATACAGGATCCAAATGAGAATTGCTATTTCTTACTGTTTCCAGTAAAAATTAAAAAATACACATAATATAAAAAGCAAACATAGCTCATTGACTCTCTTCACTCTTCTCTAATGCTGGTGTCTTTATCTGAAATTTCTGACCAAAATCTACCCTCTTTTCCTTTCTGGTTTTCCCACCATCTTTCTTTCTCATCTTTCCCATCTTTTTACTCAATAACCCTGAAGTTTCCATGGTACAAAGAATTTAGTCTGCAAAGCTATCAACAAAACACACAAGAATTATTACCAGTACAACTATCAAAGCAGACCCTTTATGAATAGGCACACGCATTAGTAATACGACTGTCTGATGGTCAGTCATCAAAACACCGAGTACAGGACGTCAGGTACACCAAGAGACCATTCCCAGACCTATCATTTTAACTTTGGATCGATCTAAGGGGATTCTCGCTAAACTGTAATTAACTTAAGGGGCTTAGATGACTGTCATGCCTACTGAAGCTGCTGGGGGGTAATTTACTAAGTATTATCATCTAGCAACTTCAGTAGGCGTACCAGACATCTAAGCCGCCTAAGCTGAAAGCAATTTGGCGAGAAACCACTTGGAGGCTGATGCTGTTAGATCAATCTAGGTATGGGAACCCAGTCTATGTCTACTCACATGGAACAGCCTGGGGGTACATCTCTACTAGCAGTGTTCTTCCAGACATTAAATTTCTTGTCATCAAGTACAAAACATCAGGTGCACTATGTCTACTCACATAGAAAAACCTGGGGAGGAGGGGGGGGGGAAGGGGGCTATATCTTTGGTGTTCTTCCATTATTTAATTTATTCAATATTGTCACCAGTTCAGAACATCAGTATCTCTATTCACAAAGAACAGACTGGAGGTAGGGGAGGGTGCTACATCTCTGGTGTTCTTCCGGTCACTTAATTTCCTGTCACCAAGTACAGAACATCAGACACAATATCTCTACTCACATAGAACAGTCTGAGGGACAGGGTACTTGTCTACCTGCCATTTATTTCCCATAATTGAAAGCAACAAGGCGTTTGATTACACACAGTAGTCTAGCATGACATAGACATACCTGGTGTTGTCTGTCTGATTACTTTCAAGTACACAAATTGTATTTTCTCTGAACTGGAACCAATCAGTTTACAAAGGACCGCACTCAATGGTTCACTCTCCTAATATAATGTGCTCTAATCATCATTTCTACCTGCCTACTAGTACCAGTAACCTGCCTTCAGGATAATTTCTTTCAGGATATTAAAAAACAGTTCTCTGTGCTGAAATCAACCATGACGCAAATAAATTGAGTTCCTTTTTCAATGTTAAACCAAGCATGACACTTAAAATATTAAATTTAATTAAATTAAATTAATAGCAAGGGCTCTGAGCTATAAACAATATATGGAGATAATTTATGCTATATATATAGAGTCAGTCAGGCAGTAAATGATGAGCACACAATGGTCTACAAAGAGAACACCAGGTTTATGGGGGCAGTGACCTGCTGCAGAAAAAATGATGAGAGTTCATGTTAACATTTATCACAGGAGAATGAGCAAACTGAAGATTAATCTCCTCCCTTGAAGCACTGAGTGCAGACTCATCATTCCTCTACATTACAGAAAATTTTATCACTCATTTCTTGCTTGATTTCTGCCTTCCCAATCACTGCTTGACAAATAAAAATCAAACCTGACTGAGGACTGCTGGACAGATACACCAATAACAAAATCCACTTTGATGGGAATTGATCTGTGGTAATGTTGCTCATAATGCTATAATTTTGAACTGTTCAATTTCTACATTAGACTGTTCTTTACACACTGTCTCACAACTTCAGTGTGACTGATGAAGTACCAAGTGTTGGGACAAAAGCTTTTACAGGTATGCCTTTAGTTAGTGTTGAAATCCAACTGTTTAAAATTTTCATCATTATGAACAAAATATATTGTTTCAACATATATAACTCAAGAGTATGAATAAAACCATTTCAAATGATTCTGATGATAGCCTGATGATCACTCACTGTTTTATGTTCTGTTACAACATATTCTACGTGTACCAGTATTTCACAACTGCTCTTCTTTCTTTATGGAAATATAAATCACCTTTGCTTTAGATGGCTAAAATGTTGCCACAGACTCTTACTTGTGTTAATTTTAGATGTACAGATGTCTTGGATGTCTTTTAAATCATGTCACTGAACTAGGGAAAAAATTATAATACACAACATCAGGTAAAAGACACAAGTCTTAAAACTGGGTTTCTATATAAATGACACGTTTTATTTTAACATACGTAATTATTAAATCCTTCCTGTAAGTACAGAACTTCTACAGATAATACATGCACAAGCGATACCATACAGTACATTTATTTTGTAATTTTCGCAGACTTTCAGTTTCATTTTTTTCTGCACACTTTCGGTGATGTTCGTTATGTTTACAGTTTCTATCAAAAGAAAAGCAACGTAGCGAAATATATGAAAATGAGGAAAGAAAAATACAGGCCCAGCGATACAAGTAATTTTTTCAACCACACAAAAATTCCTGACCTTCTGTCTGGTCGGCCGACATTGGTTCGTAATCTCCTGTGGACTGCGGTCGCTCTTCCTTTACGATGTTCGTTTGATCAGCCATTCTGATTTCCGGCTGTTTTCAGCGATGAGTCTCTGAATTCCCCTTGAAATACCGCTTTCTTTGTTTGTTCGCAATTTATCCTCAGCGCACCTTGTTTATTCTGGGGATTCTTGCTCAATGACAAATTTCATTGCGTTTTCAGACTCGTATAACTCTGGCTGGAGCTTATAGAAATGACATGTTAGACCGCAAGATGGCCGCTATATGTCAAACCAGACCACAAGTTAGTGGAAATCTGCACAAGAATTATTTCTATCTCTTCTAATTTACAGTTATCAATACAAAAATACCGATAGAAGAATTTTTTTATATAAAATGATTTAACAGTGTACAGAGATATGAAATCTTTTAAGATTAAAGAATAATATTTTAACTTTAATCACCAAGATACAGCGCGTGTCAGAGATCACATTAAAAAAACATGAAATATTCATAGAAATATTCACAGGAAATATAATGTTAAGATTTTACTTTATTACAAGATGCATGTCAATGATGTCATGCATGTAATAAACTCTCTGGCCTGAGACGTCATGTTGAATCAATCTCGAGGTCTCACATGGCCCAACTGCCTGCGGCAGCCAGTGGCCTCGCTTTCGTAAATGTAAACTTCCGGTTACTTGGTGGTTTCCATGCGCAGACGGAAGTGAATTCGAACTGATGGCGCTAAGTTTAGTGCGGTCACTTTCTGCTTAAAATAAGGTAATTTCAGATTTTGTTAAAGTTGTAAATGACAGTTTTAGCAATTGCCCTAAAATATACACTGTCGTCTGAGTATTTAAAGCACGCTCTCTCCCTCCTGAACCTCCTCCTCCTTCTTCTCTCTCTCTCTCTCTCCGTTTATCTCCATTCGTCAAAAGTCTCATCCTACACTACAGTTATTCTGGACCTAATTGTATCGATCTTTTAAGGAAATCACAGTCTAGAATGGAATTATCTAGATGCGCATGGATTTAAAATTTTGTGTATATTGTTCAAGATAGTCAAGGTGCGTGGGTAGCAAAATTAGACTGCAGAATATCATAAATTCATTTCAGAATAATTTGGATGCAACACTATACTAGCACATACAGTAACTGAGAGTGAACACAAAGATGAGTTGTGCCAAGGAAGACGTGGCAGGACAGCTACACCAGTGGGCCTTGGAGGAGATGCATTTCAGACCCCAGGGAAGACATGTCAACTCCAAACTCCCCTCTGTTGATGATTTCAGAAAGTATGATAACAGTGTTTTATCTCAGGCATGTAGCCCGGGGGGGGTGGGGGGGGGTGTTGAAAAAAAAAAAAAACCCTTTTGCCAGAAAAAGGTCCCTTCTGGATCTAGGTACACAAATGATTCATGGAAAAAGGTCCACATTTTCAGGAAAAGAATCCCCCTTTTGAAATTGCTGGCTACAGGCCTGTATCTGGACGTTGATATTAACATTTGGAACTAGTATTTGAGTTATTTATGAAATTAAATAATTAAATAAGCCATTCATTTTACTAGGTAAAGAGTTCTTATTGTTATCTAAATATTAACAATATATTTAAGGGTGGACGCTTCTGTATCATGAATACTTGCAAGTTGTATATACTAGTAATCCATTAGCTTTTTAATATGATTTATGTTTTGTTTATATTCCAGCATATGTCGGGGTCAAATGGTTGACATCTGGAAGTTTGTCATACAACATGTGTATTCAGCACAGTGAGTTCATGGCAACCTATCCCAGGGTTCTTTACTCTAGCTGTCTCTTGAAATTGTATAATATTAGTAGGAATTTCTGGGAAAAATGTTTTTTAAAATAGAATATCTTCTGGTGAAAAATTGTTACAGAGTGAAAAAAATAGTGTGGTATGGACACAAAGTGTTCTAAGTTGAAGAAAATGCAAATGTTTTGTATTTAAAATATGTGTAATCTGTCAATATCTGTTTACTTTTATTTGTTAATCTTTGACTTTTCCAGAACTGTGCAGAAAGTTAAAGGAAACCTTGCCCTGTATCCTTGTCCTGTATTGACATACATGTAAATGAAACTTTCTTTTTACATGAATTAGCTAGTAAGAATTATTATCACTGTTTCTTCATAACAAACCTATGGGTTTTTATCATTGACTTTTTTCTAGTGCCAAAGCCACGCATGCACATGCACATGCATACACAGCTGTACATGATAATTCCATCATATCAAGTGCTGTAAATGTGGGTTTGATTCCACTATGATATGCCCCAGTTTTAAGTAATATCAATCCCTTGACTGAGTATCCAGTAAGCACCAGCAGTTGTCCACCCTGTCGTACAGAGTGAAGTACCAAGGAACAGAGCAGTACTCTAGTGAGAGAGATGAACTTCTGGAGACCAAGAGAGCACTGACAGCTGAGCTAGCCAGCCTCAAGTCTGATGTTCATCATGTGGAGAGGGATCTAAGTAAACTGAAGAAGGACATTCTGGGCACAGGTTAGTAGCTGGTGTAGTAAGAAGTGTCCACTCTCGGCAGTATGGTACACAATTGTGTATTAGTTGTGAATAAAAATTTTAGCATGAAATAAAATACTAGTAATGCATAAAATTTTCAATCCATTAAGGCGAATTCAAAACACAAAAATATCTGTAATTAAATGTTTTATGTACCACTTTAACACTTCATAGCATGCAGTATATATGTTTAATATATTAATATTAAATAATTCTTTCTTTCTTTCTTTATTATTATTATAATTTTATTTTATTATTTATTTATTTTTTTTGAGAGGAGGGAGCATTTTCACATTGTGTAGCAAAGTGATATAGAAGCAGGGTAAATAATTTTCTTACTTGACATAACTTGATATTATATTGTATTTCCAAATGAAAAATAAGAAGGTTTTTTTAAATGACAAAGATTGCCTTCAGTTCTAATACTGTGATCTTCCAGAGCAAGCTTATAGGGAGTCGTGTACAGCACTAGGAGAGTTACGTAGACGCAGTGCGCTACTGAAGGCGCACTCACAGCAGTGCGAGGAGCTGCATGATTGTTACCAAGAGTTTGAACGACGCATGAACGGGAAAATTGAAAAGTACAAACAGTTGCAGAGGTGAGACATTCTTCTACCATCTTTTAGAGACTGTGTTTGTTTTTATTTTAAAATTTAACTTATTTTCCTCTGTAAAATGAGTTTTATGGAGTAGGTTGAAAAGATTTATGTTTACATCTGTGAGAAAACAACTTTCAGAGGAGTAAAGATTGCATGTGATAAGTATATATTATTTTTCATCAGTTGTGCCACACTAGTCTAGTATTGTAATGTATTATTAGTTTAGTTTGCTTGGATTTGTCTTGTTTGCTGTGTACTGATATCATGCACCTGACTTCAGCTATGGACACTGGAGGACAGACTTGCCTCCCAGGTTAGTTAGCATGCTATAACACTCCATTCTTAATCTTTAACATCTCCCCACCTCCATATTATCACTATATTTACTTCTAAACTTGAACATCCTCCCCACCCCACCTCTTCTATATTAACACATACCTAACCACGTGTGGTACAGGTTTGCTTCCCAGAGGTTAGTTTGCATGCTGTAACACCCTTCCCCTCCTTATTCTGTTTAACACTCCACTAAGATACACTAACCTTCAGTATGGATTTAACTTTGGGGGTCCATGCTTGCCTCCTTGGTTAGTGTGCATTTAATAACACCCCGCCCCCTTTATTATACTCTGCTTAAAGACACCTAACCTCCAGTATAGGCACCAGGGATTCTGACATTCCTTCCAGGTTAATATACATGTGATAACAGTCTTATCCTAATCTGTAACACATCCTAAGATATATATCTGGCTCACATCTGTATTGATATATGCATTACTGTAAAAAATTGAAAATTTTTATCACTTAATAATTAATATATCGTGAATTAATATATATGTGAATCCAACACAGCCTTATTAGGTGTTTGCAGTATGAGTAATATGTTTCGATGACTATTTTTAAAAATAATTACTATTTTGAAAAGAATATTAAATCATCAATGTTATGCTTCTGTGCTTTTTGGTAGATGAAGTATCTCTGTCTCTAAGCCAGCTTTTATTTGTCTGTCTGATTCTGAACTTTATGGATATAAAAAAAATGCCCATGTTACAGTATCCATATTGTTTTAAATTCTTCATATTCTATCAATACTCTATTAGATCTGTAGAAGTTTTCCATTTTTATGGAAATAGTAAGAATACTTTGTTAAAAAACACTTGTATAAAACACCATGCTATAGCCATATGAATATGTATTTTTACATATTTCATTTTGTTTCCCATTGCAGTAAAGACTTTGTGGAGAGCACATTTTACAGCAGGAAGAGAGAAGAAGGAGAGAGGGAAGTAACAGCAGTGGAAGGGGCATGTGCTGTAAGAAAAACATTGGAAACATTTATCTTCATTCACAGAAGTCAAACTTTTCTTAAATTTTCTAATTTTTTATGAGGCCATTTCACCAATATTTTGAGTGTAATGACAACAAAAAAACAATTGACTTTGCTAACAAAAGTCAAATTTTTCTTGTATGTGCTCATTTTTCATGTAGTCAGATCATTCTTTTGCCCATGTTTGAAGTGTGAAGTTTTATAGCTTGAGTTGTTTTTATTATTTTCAGAAACATGTGCGTGAAACCTGTGACTCTATAGGTCAGTTTCTGCAGCAGGTGCTGCAGGGGTCATTTGGCAATGACAGAATCACTCTGTAAGTTTTCTTTGCTCATTTCTTAAAAGAACAGCAGGTGACACAATATTCTTATTATTATTCCTTGCACGTCAGTACTTACCCTCGCACAGTACATGTTATATTATAGAGCACAGAGGGGATGGGGGGGGGGGGGTAAAATCAGCTAGAGGGTAAAGATAATTAACAGCTTTACCAGGTCTGACAGACATTTGAGCTGGTCAAGTTGACAGCAATATAGTGAGATATCTGTGGGAATGGTCCCTTAGTTACCCTCTCACAATACATATTATATTATATTATATTATATTATATTATATTATATTATATTATATTATATTATATTATATTATATTATATTATATTATATTATATTATATTATATTATATTATATAGCACAGAGGAAGGACCTCCTGTGGAAAGACATAGAGGTGGTATTCTCAGAGTACCCAGTGAATCAGATAGTGACCTCCCTGGTCTCCAATACACAGTATTGTATTGTATCTATCACATATTATACTATATTATAGAGCACAGAGGAAGGACCTCCTGTGGAAAGACATAGAGATGGTATTCTCAGAGTACCCAGTGAATCAGATAGTGACCTCCCTGGTCTCCAATACACAGTATTGTATTGTATCTAACACATATTATATTATATTATAGAGCACAGAGGAAGGACCTCCTGTGGAAAGACATAGAGATGGTATTCTCAGAGTACCCAGTGAATCAGATAGTGACCTCCCTGGTCTCCAACACACAGGAGTCGTCACTGTCTCTGAGGGAGAGGACGGCGAGAATTGACATCAGGAGGGATGTGGAGAAACTCAAGTAGGGTTCATTAATAATGATGAAAATTCAAACATCCTCCAAATCTAGACATTTGAATATCTTGTGTACAGTGGCAGTATCTTCTATTTGTTAGTAGGTTTTTCATTAGATTTTTAACTAAGGAGTAAGTCTGACCCAACCTAAAGAGGGAAGGTATCTTTGCTAAATTGATAAGATTCTCTTATTAAAATACTCAATGTCATTTTTCACTTAACTGTCCAGTGCCCTCCATATAACTACAAAACATATTGCATTATATATTTCAAATACTTAATATATATCCACAAGAGCTTTGTTGCAGGTTTAAGTATGAAGGCAATGGAAGGCTGACAGATGTGTCCTCGGCTCCATCTTTACTACAGAGTGTCCATCAACTGCTGGAGGTAGGCATCAGTGACCCGCACAGAATTTTGTTTATTTATTTATTTATTTATTTTTATTTCTGTGAGTATTATTTATCTAATTCTCCTTAGAAAATATGATGTGTGTTTAGTTTTTAACATGTTTATTCTGCAATCTCATTCACACTATTTTAAAATGTCTGCCCATGTAGCAGAGGTTAAGAATTTTAAATATCCATATTATCATCATCTTTGAAACTGAGATGCACTTTTTACAAAAGATGTTTGTGTGAACTTCAAAAACTGGTCTTGACAATAATGTTTACAAGAAAACTGTAAGTATCAAGATACAAGAGTTTTCTACAACTAGAAGAATGTTTGCCAAATTATAAGAGAAACTTGATGATTATGTCTACAGGAGTCCCAGTTGAATCACATCAAGAAATTTGTGGAGACAGAGAAACACAAGAATCAGTGTGTGCGTATCCACCAGCAGTTAGAGCAGCTGAGGGCAGAGGTAGACCAGCAGTTTAAGTCCCAAATACAGGGTAACCCAGGGGCTCTGGACTTGGCCAGGTATCAATTTATATTTCTGAATTGTTTTGGAGGATTCTGGTGCTGAGACAAATACAACAACAGAGATGTTTCCTTGATCTTTGAATTTATGAGGAAATCCTAGGTTTTATAGCAGAGGCAGTGATGACTTTGAATTTTTAGAATCCATTTTTTTTCAACCACCGAGAGTTATATGATAGTTGGTGTTTTTAGGTCCTTGTTCGAGACAGAGCTGAGCGTGGCTGGATCAAGGGCAGCTCTTGCTTGCTTGGAGGACAGAAACACAGAGTTAAAACTCCGCGTCAGTCAGTCTGCTAAGGAGAAGGAGATTCTGCTTGCCAAATATCAGCAGATACAGGATTTTAGGAAATTGGCTGTAAGTCTGTGTTTTATTTTTATTTAACCCTGAGTTTTTTAGTATTTTATTTAACCCTGAGTTTTGAGTATTTTATCAAATAATTTTGATCTGTTGTTATGGTCATTACTCTGAATGATTGCCTCCCATAATTAATTATATTTATCTCTCTGAAAATTCTATTTTTTGTTAAGACCAACATGTCCTTAGGTTGTATTCTTCAGTTTGATGCAAGGAAATTTGTAATCTTAATAAATAAATAAATAATTGAATCTTTCAGTATCATGTGATGGATTTTAAGTTGTTTTGTGATCTATTAATATAACAGGACAGCAAGCAGGGAGTGATCAGAGTTCTGGTGAAACAGAACACTAATGCTGCCAGCAGATTGGCAGAGCAACAGATTGCGGTAGGTCTTTTATAATGATTTTATTCTCTATTCCCTTTACCTGGTTGGTAAGACTGATTCATGTCCTGAAAAACTTAAATACCAGTATATGCTGTCACCCTGATAGTGATACTTTGTTATGCTTAACCATCTATATTTTCTTCTTGAAAATTCTGGTGTAATTCACTTTGTACTTAACTTTATCCTGACTGTATTTAGGTATTTCATGTTTTTCTTCAATTTTTCTTAACAACTGGTGTAATTATCTTTGTACTGAAGTTTATACTGATTTTATTAAAGTATTTTATGTGCCTCTTGAATATTTCATGACAAATATTGTAAACAGCCAACCAGTTTTTACTTGTCTTCCTTTTCATCATAAAAAGCAAGCACTGACCAGCGAGTTAGTATACGAACAGTATATAAAATAAATATAATCTTCTCTTTCAGATCCAGCAGTATGTCCAAAGGTCACTGTCCACCCATGAAGTGGACGTGAAGACCAATGTGACCCATCTTAAGGATCATGTTATTAAGGAGGTGGACGCCTTTGCCGCCCTGGCCTTGCCATACCTTATGTACACTGTGTTAGAGAGGTGAGGAAAAAATTACTTCCCCCCCACACACACATACACTCACACACACACACACACATACACTCACACACACACACACACATACACTCACACACACACACACACATACACTCACACACACACACACATACACTCACACACACACACACACATACACTCACACAGGCACAGACTGTCATAAGCAGTGAATCATCTGATTCATTGACTTGAATAAGAACATTAAACGGATTGCATATGATTTGTCTGTCTAGAAATATTTATGAATATCTTTTATATAGAGCTCAACCAGTTTTACTTGTCTCCCTTCTCATCACAAAAAAGCAAGCACTAACCAGTCAGTATTTATATATGTTATATCTGTTATTCATGCCATTCTACACGCATACTTGTTTATTCCATATGTAATATCTGCTCATGTATATCAAATACATCTGACTGACTTGAGCTGTATCTGTTACTCATGTTGTTATCCATGCCATGTTTATGTGTATATGCATGTCCCTGCAGTGCCCAGAAGTTAGCTGTGATTGACCTGTCCATCAACAGACTGACCGGTCCAGGTGCTGGCCACAACCAACAGCTACAGCAGGTGCTCAACGCTCTGGAGTTTCCTGTCTTCAAGGTAGGAGAATTCAGTTAGTATTATTATGTAATAATAGACTGTTGGGGTACTATTATTGAGCAGCTTTAATAGGCTTCTTTAATAAAATTATGTAGAAGGCAGAACTTGACATTTACATATATATGGAATATGGTAACCTTTGCTTTAGGCCTTGGTGCTATTTTGTGACCTTGACCCACTTAAACTATTGTTATATATCTGCCTAGGCTCCTGAGTGTCTCCTGCGGAAGGCCATGGAGGTGAAGATGGAGATAGATGACATGAACGCCCAGCTTGAGAGCCATGAAGTGCTAGGCAGACTGCTGAGGGGGGCAGAGAGAGACCAGGCCCTCACTGTGGATCACATAGCAGGTGTGTTCATTGTGGTAGAGGTGACACTGCAGATTGTGTTGGGTGTGACACTGTGTATCACATAGCAGGTGTGTTCATTGTGGTAGAGGTGACACTACAGATTGTGTTGGGTGTGACACTGTGTATCACATAGCAGGTGTGTTCATTGTGGTAGAGGTGACACTGCAGATTGCATTGGATGAGACACATGAAATGGATGCCATACTACAAATTTTGTTGGGTGTGAGACACTGCAAATTGTGTTTGGTGTGACATTCAAAATCTCGTTAGTTGTTACCAGTATGAACTGTATCTAGTATGTCTTTAAGTGTGTTTCTTAATAATGAATGAAGTATATTTTCCAGGATTATGCCAGGAAGTAGAAGAGAATGACAGGAAGCAACTGGATGCTTTATTACCAGTTCTGCAGAAAAGGATTTCCAGAGCAAGTCAGGCTTTAGCCGAGTGTCTTGAAGTGAAGGACTGTGTGCAAGCTTGGTGAGTCACGTGGTGGACTGAGCAGTGCAGTTGGTGATGGACAATAT